CAAAAACTAACAGCCCGATAAACGTGACGGGCAGCACACGTGTTTTAAAGGTCTCCTCAGGTTTTGAGTCACATTTTAAAAGTCATCAACAGTCAACTTTTTAAAAGAGTTCCAGCAATCTGCAAAATTCCGCACTATTCGGAAAATGTGATGTTCCGCATCTTGTATTTCGGCAACAGAACATCCGTACTTGTTAATGGGTTGTTCTGTTATTACTGGCATCTTTTGTCTCTTTAATTCCAAGTGAATCTAAAAATCATAGGAAAAAAACTAAATTCTGTACAGCAGTTTGCTCGGAATAATATTCTTTCGAGGTATTATAAACAAACCGAAACAAGTTACAGTTTGTGTTTGCATGAAAAGCTCTTATACTAACGATATAAGTCCTAGGTGCCTATCGCATGACATGTTCACAGAAGTACGAAATGTGTTTTAGTTTTGAAAAAAACTGAATATCTAAGTGGGGGTTCAATATTAATTTAGACACGGAATAATCCACAAACGTTTTAGTGACAAGAAACGCTACGGCTTATGAGCGGATTTCCATCAGGTATCCTGCATAAACTACACACTGCAATACACACCGCATGCATCGTGTCCTATTTTCCAGGATTCCCACGAAGCCTTGCAAGCAGACTCGCAGCGGTCCTGAAGGCTCCGTGCTCAGTCCGACACTCTTCAACATCTACATGCGACAGCCCCCAATCTCCCGGACCCCTGCACAATTGGTATCGTACTCGGCCGATGTTACGTTCTTCGGCCGGCACCATCACTTTGATTAGGCTGCGAGGTTTTTCTCGGAATTCAAAGCTGGTGTCGAAAACGTCTTCACCCAGCGCGGAATAACGATCTCGGCAGTCAAGTCGTCCGTCATTGCGTTCACGTTGGACCCGACAGAGTTCAATCTGCATCCGGCCATCAGCGTCAACGATGCGTCCCTACCACTTGTTCGTAAGCGCAAGCTCCTTGGGATACGTTTAGATCCGTTTTTCAAGGTGGCGGACCAAAACAAGACAAAGTGAGCCGCTGCACCAAGGTTTTCAAGGCTCTAGTGGGTACATCCTGGGGATACGCGAAAGAGACCTTGAAGACCACATTCACATGCAACCCCCACAACGCGGTCCTAAGCCATCTGTTCTGGTTAACCTGTTTGCAACCCGGTAACCAAGGTCATCACCGATGCCACGCTATTGAACCCAGCCGCAACGTTCGGCCGTGTATTCGAGCTCTCCACAAGAACGCTGTGGTCTCTTGTCTCTCCGATCTATCCGCTGATGGCTCTGTCATCATGACAGGCCTCCAGTGTCTTCACCAGAGAGCCGTTGTCGAGGAAAGACGACGCTACTTTTGGGTGGCTACCTACCTCCGAGTACGGCCTTAGAACGGCAACTTCCGAGGCTCACTCGCTGTACTTTTGCTCAACTGCGCAGTGGCTACTCAATTCTCCTTTGCCAGTAACAAAATCGGCTTGACCCGTCCGCGCCCTACAGCTTTCCCGATTACGGCGTTTCTGCGCGTGACTGTCAGCATCCACTTGCCTGCAGTTCCCAGCCAGGCACCAAACTCATCTTCGAGGAACTCCGGCTCAAGCCTGTCAAGGTCGCGGTTTCTCTCCGTATTCCAAATAAAAACATTTTGGAATAACATTTCTACAATCTGAAAGGTCAAATGTCCTCTGAAGTAAGCGGAAAATTTTCGTCACGGCAAGACTTTCTGGCAGGAGTTTCCTTGGTAGTGCACATATGTTCTTATTTATAGTTAAATGCCTACTCCAACGCTTCCCGTAAGACAGAAACACACTATCCCACACTATCACACTATCCCAACCTAACCCTAACCATAACCCTTACCCTAACCCTACACCTTAGCCTAATCCTAACCCTTAATCTAACCCTAACCCTAACACTTACCCTTACCCAAGCCCTTACCCTCACCATAAACCTAACTCTTACCCTAGCCCTTACCCTAACCATAAGCCTTACCCTAACCCTAATACTTACCCTTACCATAAAACTAACGCTTACCCTAACCGTAACCCTAACAGAAATTATTTGTGTAGGCATGAAAATACAAATAAGAATATATGTGCGCTACCAAGGAAACTCCTGCCGACTTTCTGTACTGTTTCAAAGCTCAAGAGCTTCCAAAAGCCGATTAATTTGCCAGGGGCACGCGTCGGAGATAAGATAGGGTGAGAATGGATTTGGCTTGGACAAAGACCAATCAATAATTACCACCACCACCCCCTCCCCTACCAACCCCATTTATGCGTAGCTGAAGTTTGC